GCCCCTGCCATTGATCTTGCAGAAGCCACATTCTTTTTTTAAATGATTTGCAAAATCTTTATCTCAGCACTAGATCTTGCTTTTGTAGACAAAGGATATTTAGTCAACTTTTGAAGGATGGTCCTTGTTTGATATGTGCAAAGAAAAATTTCAACCTCACGTACCTAAATTCATTTCTGCCAAACTAGACTTTAGAACACTGCATTTAAACATAGATTCAGCAAACAATTGAAGTATAGAAAGTCAAAGACAGAAATAAATTCTTAGACGCTCTTTGTTTTGCTGATTCTTACAAAGATGTAACCAATTATGTTGGGTTGGTATTGTGATGCTAAAAATGGAAAGACAGACATGGCTTGGTACCATATCTGTAGGTGCCTAAAGATCCTATCAAAGTGACTTTCCTCTATTCTTAATTATCAGGTATCCAAACAGAAATTTAACTTACTAGAGTTGCAGTTGCAGACACAAGTAGTAGAAACATGCATCCCAAATTACTTCACTTGAAAGGAAAAAAGACACATTCATGTTCTTGTTTCATTATATTAAATTCACATCATAAATTGAAGAAAGAGACACCTGCTTAAACATTATGGCCATTCTGCCAACACTTAAATAGAAAATCTACTACTTTTAACCTCGATAATTGCATATATTATAGAAGACCGTAGATTTTTGAACTCTAGGGAAGTTTAAAGGAAGTAAACAAAGGTTTTTCAAATTAAACATAAAGATATATTGAAAAACTTACAAGTATAGTAGTTATCCAACCACCATTTTCTTTCTCTTGGTTCTTTGTCTCACATCTTATGGTGGTAGGTTCACTGAAATTCCATCATGGAGATCCATAAATATACCATCTCTAGAAAAAAAAATTCAAAATTTTCACATAAAATCTATGATTTGAAGTTGACACTGGATCAAGTTAGCACATATAAAATCAAATATATTATAATGGAAATTGTAAATATAAATGTACCCTCCTCAGCAAAAACAAAGTAATAATTATGGCATGAGCCATAGCTAAGTGAATTGCATTGTATGTAAGAAAGGAATCTAATCTTCATGCAAAATTTTTATGATTACTCATGTAGACAACATTTAAAAGTCAATCTGCTATAATTTCCAATTATTAAGCATCAAATTCAATACATGCTAATCATAGTGTAATGGCTACTTGAGTTACTATAAATAATCATCATGCATTTACCCAAATTGATACATCACATTTTCTCCAAAGAAGGAACTTGGTGAAAATAAAGATTATGCTATGGATGTAGTACATATAGAGATTTAGCATTTCAGGGGGGTAAAATTTAGTTCACCCTTTAATTACTATTTACATATAGAAAAGAAACAATTCATGTTACGAATAAAATTTCATCTTTCTGCTTGGTAGAGGCTAGAGTGGTTGTCAGTTCTTGGCAACAAATGACTTGACTGTGTTCTGTCTTTCACTTTTACTAAGAATTTTACAACTAAAATATTGAACTCACAAGTAACTAATGATGATCACAAGTTCATGAGGAATGTTAGCAATACTCTTTGAAATTCTCTTTTCAGCACTCTATTATCATGTCAACTTCTATGTTAGCCCTACTAAATAACCTGACCCCACTCTTTATCACAGATTTTCTTGGTACACACCATATTGTTGGGGCTTTTATTTATGGACTAATCTTACCTCATGGGAGGTTTGCTGAGTTGGTGATGGAAATGACAGATGATTTTGTTACTGGGGTTCTATCCCCTATCTACTTTGCTGGTTTTGGCTTAAAAATCAACTATTTAATGATTGTGAACCAGCCAAAATGGCATGTGATGTTGCTCATTATGCTGCTGTTATCCATCCCTAAAGTTCTAAGCTCCTTAATTACCACTTTCTTCTTTGGTATGTCTGCTCGAGATGTAATAGGCATTGGATTGCTTCTCAACACTAAGGGCATCATGGCATTGATCCTGCTAAGCGTTGCCTGGGACAGAAAAGTAAGTAATAATCAATTACCAACTTCATTTCATTCTCCTTTTTTTTTTGCAAATATGTAAAACTGGTTTCTTTGTGACCGAAAGATCACGGGTTCAATCCATAAAACCATCTCTTTCTAAGTATATAGTAAAGAACCAATTCAACCCAAAAGTTTAAGCTGTCGGGTGAGGCTACATTAATGGTTTTATACTTCTCTAACATATACAAATAAGGATAAGACTGCATATAAGTATTTTCTTCACCTCATCCTCATTAAGTTGAGGTTCAACGGGGAGTGGTTTTTTTATTTCATACTCCTTTTTCAAGTTCATTAGCTCTTAGTTACAGCTAATTCAAATGTGTGTTTATTTTTTTTTAACCGATTTTGAACTTATATGATTTCACAATCATGATGCTTGGTATTATAATAATGACTGTGCTGGTATCTCCCTTGATCAATGCTATATACAAGCCAAAATTTCGGTTTAAGTAATCACAGCTGAGAACTGTACAGAAGTTAAGGAGTGATGTAGTGCTTAGAGTTGTTGCTTGTGTCCACAATGCTCGCCAAGCCACCGCAATGACACGAGTCCTTGAAACAGTAAATGCCACAAGAATTTCACCTTTACATGTATTTGCACTTCACCTTGTTGAACTCACTAGATATGGCACTGCTCTTCTTGTAGCCCAAATGGAACATTCAAATTCAAATGCACATGGTGGAGAACAAAAACTCTATGAATCACAAGCAGAGTTTGAGAGCATAACCAATACATTTGACGAATTTGTAGAAGGATACAATGCTGTTAGATTTGAGACATCAAGTGTTGTGTCAACTTATGAAACTATCCATGAAGATATATACAATGTAGCAGAAGAGAAATTTGCAAGCTTAATTATCCTTCCTTTTCACAAGGAGCTAAACTCAGAAGGTGTACTAGAAACAACTAACACTGCACAAAGTGACATAAACAAAAGTGTTCTACAACAATCACCATGTTCTGTTGTGATCTTTGTCGACCGTGGACTTGGATCATTACTACAAACAAGTTTGAGGATTGTTGTGATCTTCATTGGAGGACCGGATGACCGCGAAGCCTTATCTATAGCAGGGAGAATGGCAGGGCATTCAGGAATTCAATTGGATGTGGTAAGAGTACTTTTGTTAGGTGAAGCTAAGGAAGAAGAAGAAGAAGAGAACACAATGAACAATGATGCAAATGAGTTATTATGTACAGTTAGGGATAATGGGGTACAGAAACAAATGGATGATGAGTATATATTTTCCTTCAGGCACAAGGCAATGAACAATAATGAGTCAATTGTTTATTCAGAGGAAGGTGCATACAGCAACAGGTGAAGAGATTCCTTTACTACTCAATGAGTTAGACAAAAATGACTATGATTTGTACATTGTTGGACAAAGTTGTGGTAGAAACTCTAGAGTTTTTTCCAAGTTGTTGGAATGGTGTGACAATCCTGAACTTGGGGTTATAGGGGATATTGTAGCTTCAACAAGCTTTGGTACACGTGCTTCATTGCTTGTTGTGCAGCAATATGATTCTGGTTCAAAGCGTAAAACTCAACATCAAAAGAAATGTCACCAAAAGAATGATGGTCCTGAGATGATGTTGTGAAACACAGATACAAAGATTAGATATTGCAGATTAAGGAATGTTTTCTATATTTAGGATGGAAAAGATCCAAATTAAAAATGCAAATATTATTTTTCTACAAATTTGTGATACTATTAGAGATAAGTGATTCAATCAAGAGCAAACAAGATCTTCCTTTATTTTGCAATGCAACGATATTTTTTGTTAAAGATAATTATAGTTTTTAAATAATAAAATATATTTTAATAAAGGAGAATAAGGAAACAAATAGGAGGAGAGAATATTGTTTTCAAAATCAAATCTTCCTTTATTTTGTATTTCTAAAATAAATATTATCAAATAATTCTTTAAGATTCTATTTTATTTTATGAATATTTTAGATTTTTCTTAAAAAATATATATTAATAAAGGGGAATAAGGAAACAAATATGAGGAGAGAATATTGTTTTCAAAATCAAATCTTCCTTTATTTTGTATTTTCTAAAAGAAATATTATCAAATATTATCAAAATCACATTCACATTCACGTGTAAAACCTTGTCTTTGCCTTCCTCTCACTCTTATATAAGTTTAGTTTCGTTTCGTTTCCCGGCAACTTTGCAAAACAGAACCACTCACACTCACGCATAATTACTTTGTAAAACCAAACCTTGTCTTTCCCTTGCTCTCCCAAATTTTCCCGAGAAAAATTTCCAGCTTTCCTTTGCGCTCTCAACACCACACTGGACGCAGTGTGGTTTTTCTATTCTTCCCTTCTTGTTTTCACTGTCTGTTTTTCTTGCTCTCTTTTTCTTCCCGTAAATGGTATTGAGGGGTCTGGTTGAAGAGGTTCCGGCGCCGAAGTCCATGGCGACGAGTCACATGAGAAACCCTCTTCACAATTTCACGTTCCCTTCCCTTTTCCTGAATTGGGGAACCCAGAGGAGGAGCATCAATTGCACTAGCGCTGCTGACGGCGCGGGAGTTTCCGGGTCAAAGACTGAGGAATCAATGGCGGCACAGAAGGAGGAGTCGGAGCCTGAGAAGAACATCAATTGCACTAGCGCTGCTGACGGTGCGGGAGTTTCCGGGTCAAAGACTGAGGAATCAATGGCGGCACAGAAGAAGGAGTCGGAGCCTGAGAAGAAGCTTGCGGTGTATGTGAGGCGTTCGAAACGGCGACGCTCCGGCGAGGATGAGGATGGCGTTGCAGCAGTGAGGCAGAAGCTCACGCTTGATCTCAAGAATCAGGCAGATAGGTTGAAAGAAGCGATTTTGGCTAACGAAGAAGAAGAACCTGTCAAGCCGTGGAATTTGAGAAAAAAGCAAGCAGAGTGTAATTCTGATAAGGTGAAATTTCACGTGGAGTTATCCAAGAAGGAGGTTGAGGATGATTTCATGGAGATGTTGGGTTGTCGCTTGCTGAGTTGGTGATGGAAATGACAGATGATTTTGTTACTGGGGTTCTATCCCCTATCTACTTTGCTGGTTTTGGCTTAAAAATCAACTATTTAATGATTGTGACCCAGCCAAAATGGCATGTGATGTTGCTCATTATGCTGCTGTTATCCATCCCTAAAGTTCTAAGCTCCTTAATTACCACTTTCTTCTTTGGTATGTCTGCTCGAGATGGTATAGGCATTGGATTGCTTCTCAACACTAAGGGCATCATGGCATTGATCCTGCTAAGCGTTGCCTGGGACAGAAAAGTAAGTAATAATCAATTACCAACTTCATTTCATTCTCCTTTTTTTTTTGCAAATATGTAAAACTGGTTTCTTTGTGAATTTAGTGCAGAAGCTTGCCACGGATAATGGAAAACTGTACCTGTCTTTGCAGGTCACTGGGGAGTTACTAGATAACTTGACAAGTTGGGATGTATTGCTAGCTGCATTACCTGTTGGTATAGTTAGTGGAGCACCAAAGGTAAATCTTGGCATCCTTCAAGGCTATAACCTAGGTGTTTGTAGTCTCTTTCTCCTCACTGATGTAGTTTCTGGTATAGATTGGCACTTCCCTTTCTGATATTACTTGTGCATACATAGGGATTGTTGAGAGAAAGGTGGGGTGGAAGGGGTTATCACTAAACATTCTTAGAACAACCACAACACTCTTTGTTGATTGTCACCAGCTTAAGATTGCAGTCTTGGTTTGACTATTTTTGTCCTAAATTGTTATCGTTATCTGTGCTGTACAACAGGTGAAAGCCATGGAGTTGATTGATCAGTTGGAAGTCACAAGACGTGGGCCATATAATGGGGTATTTGGAGGCATCTCTTTTTCTGGTGATATGGACATTGCCCTTGCTCTGAGTACCATAGTTTTCCCAACTTATACTCGTTTTTACACAATGTACCCGTCTAAGGATGTGAACAAACGTAGACAATGGGTTGCCCATCTCCAGGCTGGAGCAGGAATCATGGCTGACAGTGATTATAACACCTCACAATTTTAAATCAATTAATTAAAATATTAAATGAGCAATCAAGTGATGAATTAGTGAAAATCCTAAAGATTAGGCCAAAATACAAAGAAAGGGCAAAATGGTAATTAGCCAACACGCAACCCTAGGAAGATAAAAATTGAGTAGAAGGTCTCAGATGGTAAAAATAACCCTGGAAATGGGTTCAGAACGAAAAATTGAGTGGATGGGCAAGTTTCAGAAAAATCAGTGAATAGTGTTTTTCGCGGGTAAAAATATCGCGTTACGATTGCACCGTAAAACGTGCCAGTTGAATTTTGAGCTCTAGGTTTCAAATATGAGTTAAAAATGGTCTAATGAGTTAGGAAATATGATTTCTTATAATATTCGATGAAATTAAGACAGTTTGGGGAAGCGTGCCAATGGCGCGCGTAATAGCTTAAAACAGTGTTTTCTCCGAACGAATGGAGGACTCTTAATTCACCTGATCAAGCCTAATTAAAGGGGAATAGTTAATGTTAAAAATTTGAGTTTCTAAATAGGTTGTGAATTTACGGACGTTTAGTGGAATCGGAGGAAAATTCGGATTAGTTTTAAATCGCGTGAGGTGGCGGTGGGACCCACCCCACTTAAGTGACTTAAGCCACATGTGCTTGGCACTATTCATGAATCACTTTCCTCCCTTCTTCTTCATGAAACCCGCAGCCCCCTCCCCCAAAAACCCCATTTGCATTCAAATTTTCTTTTCACCATAACTTGATCATTTCTTAACCAAATCAAGTGATTTTTGTGTTGAAATTTGTTGGAAACAACCTTCTAAACACATTGGTACCACTCTTGAGCCTTGAAACCGTGTATTTGGGGAGATATTGGCCATTTACAGCCACGAAATTTTGGAGAAAAAATGGTTGTCCATGGAGCTTTTTGATCTTCCATTGCTTGGAGGAGTCTTGGGTTAGCTTCTAGCCTTTGTTGTGAGTATGTTTCCATCCCATTTACATGGTTTAATTGTGATTGAATTTTTGGAAACCTAAAGCTTGATTTGATGATGTGTTGTGTTAGAGAGCTCAATTTGAAAATGTGTATTAGATGATAATGTGTTAGAATGATGTATTAAAGCTAGAAATGCGATGAAATTTATTGATGAAAAATGTGAATTTTTAACTTAGAAAATTTTGAGGTTGTCATGACTTTGAGTTTTGAAAATGTGTTAGGATTGGATTGATGAGTTGTTGTATGATTGTATGTTGATATAATAGGATTGTATGAGGTGTGGAATGATTAAAGTTGTATGGAAATTCCTTGGAATGCCATAGGGTAAAATTCGATTCTTTTAAGAAAGATTGAAGAATTGATGTTGAAAAATGATTTGGATGATGATTTGAGTAGTTATATGGTGCTTAGATGGGTTGTGTTGTGCTTGGAGAGTGTTTGAATCAATGGAAAAAAATGAATTGTGTTAGAGACCTAAATGAGCCCAGAATGAAATATTTCGCAAAACGATGCGTAAATGTCGAAAAACGGAAAAACGATGATTGAACTAGCCTCTAAACAACCTAAGGGAGTGTTATAAAATGAGAAAGAAAATTTAGGAAAATAAATCTCAAATTTACACCTACATGGCCGAACCTCCAAGGGGAAAAGGGGTGATTTGGCGATTTTCGCGTTTTGATGTAATTCGACGCGAAAATGACGAACCGACACTTGAACTGGCCTATTGACAACCTAATGAGACGTAACAAAATGAGAAAGAAAATTTAGAAAAATAAATCTCACATTTACACTACAATGGCCGAACCATCAAGGGAGGATTTTTGTGTTTTTGCGTTTTGATACTATTTGACGAGTACTGATGGATGTACGTTATTGTATAGGTTGCCGTACGTCGACCTGAATCCCGAATCTTGAATCAGTGAGTTGCCCTTGGTCCGGGACCAAGTGGATTGAGGTAAGAAATTGGTTCATTGCATGTGTAATTATAAATTAACATGTATGGGTTGAACTGAGAGTGATTGGGAATGTCCTCTGTGTAGGCATTCCGCTGTGTACCGAGTTGAGGGATAAGCTGCTGCGGAGCTTGTGGAAACACGAATTAAGGTAACCTCTTGGTACTGGGGCTTGTTCCCCTTTTCTGTTCCACCTTGCCAGTTGATGGCAACGGTAGGAAGTGTGTATGAATAGTATAGAACACATGAGCATGCATGCATTATTGCTATGGGTACTGCGGTACCGAGTCTCTGGCCAGTAGACAGTTTTATTAGCCTTCGGGCATTTTCGGACTTCCGCTGGATAGGTCTCCAGGAGGGAGTTCCAGTTGACCGCGCGTCATGGTGTGTGATCCGGGTAGGAGCACACTAGGAATGTCTTTGGCGTTTTGGTTGGTTTGGGCATCATGGTTGTGGTTTCTGTGAACACACCTTGGATGATACCCATAGGCTTATATATGCCGAGGGCGTACGTGGAATTGGGGTTACCATCCCGTATCGTCGTATTTTGTTTTCTTTATATTCCCCATTCTCTAAATCCCTTGCTATATCCCGTTTTCAAAGTGGTTGTTGTATTCTATTGATATGCATCGAAGTGAACCATTGGGTGGAGTTTTCTCCAGAACCTCTTGGTTACTGAGATATATTCGTATATCTCACCCCGTCTCGGGGCAATTATTTCAGGAGATAGCAGTGGAGCAGGAGCGCTGGAGCGCTTCATATTTTGCATTTTGTTGGCCGTGTGGCCTAGGCTAGACTTAGGGCATGAACATGTCATTTGTATTTATTAGTAGCTTCATTAGCATTTTGTTCATGCCATTTTGCCTAAGTCTAGTAGTGATGTATTTGGTTATGTTGTCTTTTAAATTAAGTTGAAATTTTAGAAGAATGTAATTTGAAGTTTTAGTTTCAAGTTGTAATTTGTAAAGCCATATTGTAATAGTATTGATGCATGTCTAATTATGATGGAAGGGCCTTAGGCCTATTTTAGGTTATGATAATATGTATGATGGAAATATGCATGAAAAAGGTGTTAGTGATTGCAACTACTTGAGAATGACTAATATGGACTCTATGTTTAATAACTATAAACTGGATTGGGTTGTAAGTGCCCCAAGGCGTTGTTGGTCCTTGTGTGTGCCACCCATTGGATTATTACTGTATTATCATGTGTTTATTAGGTACATTTGAGGTTTAAATGATCTTTTACAAATTTGGGATTATTGGAAAAACAAAGGAAACTCTGGCGAATTTTCTGTAGAATTGGCAGATTTTAGGCGAACTTTGGGAGAGCATATCTCCCTCCATAGAGGTCCCCTAGGGACGTTCCATACGCTATTTTGAAGGTTGAGATGTCCTCTACCTTGTGTCAAAATTTGAGGAAATTCTGGGTTGATCTTCGGCCTGAAATAAATAGAGAAACGCGGACTGCCCATGTGCCCCTGCACCTGAGGCAGATTCTGGACCGGATTTGGGAAATTAATTCCCGCTTCGTTTCTCCGCCAAATTAAGCGTGTGATATATCAAAATGAAGTTTTAGATGTCTAGTTTGTAGGATAAAAATTTGAGAGCAAATGGTTGAGTAGATTGAGTGCAGTAATTCGAGCAATGTGAGTGGTTTGGAGCTGTTTTTGGGGTTGTTTGGGCTAATTGCTTATCCAACTTCAAACGGCGATAACCGGAGCAAATGAGCTCTGAATTGAGCGTATGATAGCTTTTTAAAAATGGAATTAAGTAATACAAAAATATAATCTGAGAAGAAGGGTTAGTTGCGATCGGTTTGGTCGCAGAAAAATTTAGAGTGAAACATGTTCGAATTGGTAAAAATGTAAAGTTGGAAATAGGCTAAGTGAGTTTATGGGAACTCCTTAGTAACTCATAATAAATGATGTAAGTTATAAAAATAGTTGAAATAAGTCTTCCGCAAGAGTTTACGGTTACGGTCACAGCTTTTAATTATTACGCCTTTTTATGATTTAAATGCTCG